ATAATACATTATATAATTATAATCATAATTATATATTATAATATTATATATATTATATATATTATATATACTATAATTATATAAAATATATATTATCTATATACATTAAAAAAAAACAAGCCACACACTAAGAGATGCGCTTGGAAAGTTCGCTGTCTGCCAGACACTCTCCTCCAGGCCGGAAGGTGGCCCTCTCACTCCGCCTGCAGAAAGGGCACGCGGGACTGAGCAGAGGCTGGGAGGACCAGGGAGCACGTGCAGTCCCTCCTACCTGTTCCCCCATGTCGCAGCTCATTGTTCTTCTGGAATCACAAAATGTTTCAATGCCTAATAAACTGATGTTTTTAAAATACCCATTATTTCCGTGATATAAAGTAGGAACATAGGACTACATACTTACAAGTAGATTTTGAGCAAAAATAAAGCGTACCTGTCGGATAATCTTTGTCATGTAAATTTTTAAGTATCCGATTCGCATAGATGTTCCTGATTTCAAGCTCTCGGTCCTTCTCCTAAAGAGAACCACAATACCAATCTCTCTATAAATACTTGCTTTTAGCAGCCTGGATTTCTTCTATAAAACACGTTGAGCAAGCTCAGCATTCTTTGAATAAACTCTGTAGATGCTGGCAGGAACAGAAATAGGCCATATCCTTCTAGATCATCCCTGACACCAAAAAGTACCCTGAAACAGAGCAACAAACCATTGTGACGGGGACAGTGCTGCTGCGGGGTTTGCAAGCCAGCTGCCCTCACTGCAGGTTCTGTCCCCCCGGGTCTGCGCCGTGAAGTTTGCTGGCTTTTCTCGTGGTCCAGGACAGCCACTAGCCACGCTGTGGTCTAAACTAATTAAAATGAAATGCACCGTTCAGTCCCCCGTGGCACTGCCCATATTTCCAGTGCTCAGTGCTGCACATCTCTGGTGGCCACATGACTGCACGGTGTGGTAGAACATTCCCACGTGGCACGAGGTTCGACGAGACCGGCCTGTGTTTCGACAGTACGAGTGCAGGGTGGGTGAAGCCTAGAACAAAGGCATCACTGTTCAGCTTTAAATGTCAGGATTGACTTTTTAAAGTCTTGGCAAAACAGGGGTGCTGTGTGGCTCCGTCAGTTAAGCGCCCAACTTCGGCTCAGGTCATGATCTCACAGCTCGTGAGTTCGAGCCCCGTGTCGGGCTCTGTGCTGACAGCTCGGAGCCTGGAGCCTGTTTCAGATTCTGTGTCTCCTCTCTCTTTCTGCCCCTCCCCTGCTCATGCTCTGTTTCTCTCAAAAATTAATAAACATTAAAAACTTTTTTTTAGGGGCGCCTGGGTGGCGCAGTCGGTTAAGCGACCGACTTCAGCCAGGTCACAATCTCGCGGTCCGTGAGTTCGAGCCCCACGTCGGGCTCTGGGCTGATGGCTCAGAGCCTGGAGCCTGTTTCTGATTCTGTGTCTCCCTCTCTCTCTGCCCCTCCCCCGTTCATGCTCTGTCTCTCTCTCTGTCCCAAAAATAAATAAAAAAATAAAAAAAAAAAAAAAAAAAAAAAAAAAAAAAAAAAAAAAAAAAAAAAAAAAAAAAAAAAAAAAACAACAACTTTTTTTTAAAGCCTTGACAAAAGTTTTGAAATCCTGGCTTGTTGAGGGGAAAAAAAAAGATTGCATTAAGCACCAAACACTCCTCTTACACATGCACCAAGAGGCCAGCCTGTTAGACTCAAGACCACTGAGTCTTAGTCAAAGCCACAGTCAAAAGGAGTGGGCACTGGTGCCTGGGTGCCTCAGCCAATTAAGCATCGGACTCTTGATTTCAGCTCAGGTCATGATCCCAGGGTCGTGAGATCGAGCCCCGTGTCGGGCTCTGCCCTGAGTTTGGGGCCTGCTTAGGACTCTCTCCCTCTGCCCCTCTCCCCCATCCCTTTAAAAACACAAAAACGGAGTGGGTATATGTGAGTTAAGGCTGTCTTCTGTATGGTTAGACAGAAAGGGTCAGAGGAAGGTGCCCAGAGAAGGAGGGTAGAGATAGGAGGAAGGGAGAGAGAGAGAGAAATCAGATGGGGTTCTGGGCTCCCTGTGCCCCTCAGGGATATTAGGAAGGCGAAGAAACAACTCTGAGGTTTGGAAAAGTCTCAGTGCAGGAGGCCTTGGTGTGGCCTGGGACATTCAAAGCCCACTGTCAAGCCCCCCTTCAGCGTGGAGCCAGAGTAGTAATGCATTGCCAGTGGTAAGTTGAAAGGGCAGATACGCCATCCAGGCAAAGGGCCAAAGAGAGCACTTCACTCACTTGCACAAGGAGTGAGACCCAGAGAGGGGACGGGAGCAGAGGGAAGAGCGAGAGAGAGGGGAGAGCCAGGGAGCCTGCTTCTGAGTCTTCAACGTTACTGACCCAGGTGATCCCACAGCACAGGCTCTGGGACCGACCGTCGAGCCAAGGATCCGATGGCACCTCAAGGCATTGGCATCGACAGACAACAAGCGAAGATGGCCGAGATTTGACCTACGGAGCAGAGGCCATGGGCATCACCGGCCACGTTCAGTACCTGCCACACAGGTCCCGGGCACCCCACTAGTTAGGACCAGTCACTCCTCAGACGAGGACACGAGGTTCCAGAGGGTCAGGGGACTTTTTCTCCTTTTACCAACAGGGTAACGGTGTGCACCCCCTCTTAATGGTAGATGCTGTCTCCACCAAGAGACGCTGTTAAGTCTCAGAGACAACCTAAAATGGGGCCAGTTTTGATTAGAACAGACTGAGACAAGCTTCTGCCTAGTCTCCGTGTCCATCCCTGTCCCCACCTCCAACTTGTGGGAACGGGGCTCATAAGGAAGTATGGGTCAGTTATGGAAACTAAAAATGTTACATATTTGTGCACATCTGAGTTGGAATGGGCAGGTTTTGTACTGATTCCATTTTTAATGTTTATTTATTTTGATGGAGCACGAGTGCATAAGTGAGGGAGGGGCAGAGAGAGAGAGAGAGGGAGAGAGAGAATCCCAACAGAATCTCTGCACTGATGTGCGGAGCCTGACTTGGGGCTCAATCTCACGGACCCATGAGATTATGACCTGAGCCGAAGTCCAACCCTTAAGCGACTGAGCCACCCAGGCGCCCCTATACTTATTTTAATCATAAAATTAATTTACTATCGGGGCACCTGGGTGGCTCAGTCGGTTAAGTGTCTGACTTCGGCTCAGGTCATGATCTCGCGGTTCGTGGGTTCGAGCCCCGCGTTGGGCTCTGTGCTGACAGCTCGGAGCCTGGAGCCTTCTTCCGATTCTGTGTCTCCCTCTCTCTCTGCTCCTCCCCTGCTCGCACTCTGTTTCTCTCTCCCTCTCAAAAATAAACATTAAAAAAATTTAAAAATTAATTCATTATCAGAGGTACATAAATGGATACAATATGAGAATATTAGCCTTTTCTAGAATTTAAGTTTCTAGGAGCAAAAATATCAGTATATTTCTCTTTTTCTTTCTTTTCTTGTAATAACACCTCACTTAGCAAGAAAGAACGGTAATGGTGACAGTTTATTACCTGAAGGTGGCCAAGTTTATTCTGGATATTATGTTTTTTTTAATTTTTTAAAATGTTTATTTATTTTTGACAGAGAGAGAGAGAGAGAGACAGAGCATGAATGGGGAGGGTCAGAGAGAGAGGGAGACACAGAATCTGAAACAGGCTCCAGGCTCTGAGCTGTCAGCACAGAACCCAACACGGGGCTTGAACTCACGACCTGTGAGATCATGACCTGAGCCGAAGTCGGACACTCAACCGACTGAGCCACCCAGGCACTCCTGGATATTATCTTTAAGAAGAATATAGTGTAGGACATCTTAGAAAGTTTTTTTTTTACCCCCCACTGGTTAAGACAAGAAAGATTTTGATGTTTAGAGGGGCAAGCGTTGATCGTCTGGAAAATCCAGTTACTTATTTTGATTCAGGCTGGTTCCTTGGAGGGTCTAGCATGTGCATCAGCAGCAGAGAGCAGGAAGAAGGCAGATAAGAAATGCTGGCTGACGGGTGACCGGTGCAGGGCTGGCTGGGGGCAAAAGGGAAGGACAGTCCTCCCTCAGGCCTGGAACAAAGGTTCAAGTCTGGATGCTGTCCACAGACCTGGGTCCAAGATCAAAGACAACAGGTTCAGAACACAATCCAGGATACTTGTGTAGTTGAGGTCAGTCAGTTAATCAAGAGAAAAAATACTGGGGCGCCTGGGTGGCTCAGTCGGTTAAGCGTCCGACTCTTGATTTTGGTTCAGGTCATGGTCTCGCGGTTCATGAGTTCGAGCCCCAACAGGGCCCTGCGCTGACAGTGTGGAACCTGCTTGGAATTCTGTCTGCCCTTCTGCTGGTGTGCAATAAATAAACATTAAAAAAAAAAAACAACAACAATAAGAAAAATCCACATGTAGGAATGCTCATGGCATGTTTGTGGACTATTCATAGGAAAGAGGACTCACCAGCTCCAAGGTTATCAGGTCAGAGTTCGGTGGAGGTTGGGTCATGGTGGGGAACCATGTTAAAAGAGCAGGGCAGATGGCTTCCAAAAGACAGAAAACAATGTCTACACAGACAGTGCCACTTTGGCAGGGGTGAGCTTGTAGCCTGGATGCTGGGTAGAGTTGCAGTACCTGATTTGGGAGCCGCGGAGGACTGATATTTATCCCTTTACTTTGGCCCATTTTCTGGAAAGAGAGCAGTGTCTAGAATTGGTGTTGGATGACTTCGAAAATGAGTTTCAGAGTACCAAAACAGAAACTTTGATCTTTGGAACCGTGCCTTCCCGAGGTCAGGTGCTAGTGATTTATGTTAATGTGGCAGATTGCATTTTCTCAGAATTGCTTCAGCAGTATTTCCGGTCCCATATGCTCTTCCGGAAACTTGTGACTCCCCATGAAGAGGTAGAATCTATTGCTCCTCCCATGGTGCCGCCTTGACAAAGGGAATGGGGTGGAAGAGATGCTGTGTGACTGGTTCTCTTTCTGTCTGTATCTCCCCACTCTGCTCCTTGGAACCTGGCTGCCATGTTGTGAGGAAGCCCACACCACATGGGGAGGCCACATGTGGGCAGTTCTGGCCAACACCCCAGTTGCCGTCTCAGCTGTTGGTTGACACCAACTGCAGACATACATGCGAGACTTTAGAGCACTCCAGCCCCAGCCTTTGAACCACCTTAGTTGATGTCGAGAGTGGCAGAGATGGGCTAACCCTGGCAAGCCCTGCCAGATTGTGGATTCGTGAGCAAAATTAATATTGTCATTTCTTTTTTTTTCTTCTCCTTTTTTTGAAGTAGGCTTCATGCCTAGCACAGAACCCAGTGTGGGGCTTGAAGCCAGCACCCCAAGATCAACACCTGAGCTGAGATTAAGAGTTAGATGCTTAACTGACTGAGCCACCCAGGTGCCCCCCAGTATTGTCATTTCTTTCTTTCTTTTTTTTTTTTTTTTTAATTTTTTAACGTTTAACAGAGCATGAACAGGGAAGGGGCAGAGAGAGAGGGAGACACAGAATCGGAAGCAGACTCCAGACTCTGA